TCTTCACCTTACAATGGAAAAGGAGACAAAATCTAAGCATCTCATAAATCCTCCCCCAGGGATTCTTTATCTAACACAGCTTCCTAGAGTCATGGGCAGCCTAAAAATTCACACATTCATCTATAGTAAGGTGTTAACAGGAGGAGCACTGAACTTGGAGTCAGAAGACTTGGACTTGTGTTTTAGCTTAGCAGTTACTATGGGGACCACAGGGAAGTCACTTTAACACACTGGGCCTCAGTATTTTAGCAATAAATTGAGAGAATTGTACTAGACAAACCCTTCCAGTTCTGCCATTCTATAATCCCATCTGGATACACTACATTTGGAGTGGGGTACCTGTTGTTCCCCCTCTCCTCTTTCTCCTCCCCTTAGAATTTTAACTTCATTCTAGTCGGGATTCTTTTATTCATTTTATTTGTATCCACAACACCCAGCATAGTGCCTGGCATACAGCAGATATTTAACAAATGCCTGATGACTGACCGACAATTTTCTTAATCACAAATAACTCTACAAACTAATGTGAATATCCTCTCTATTAGGGGGAACAAAATTAAATAGCTCTGGTCCTACCTTTTCGCCACTACCACAAGCTTTTGTATTTAGGCAGAAGTTCCAGAGGTTAAAGAGGCCTAACATTCGAATGCCAATCCATGATCCACCAGAAGAAACTCGTGCGAGACATCTCTCTCTTAAACTGTATTTTTAAAAGGAAAAAACAAAGGTCCAGGGTACCTTGATTACCTCCTCCTCCTACCCACCTCTTCTACTCCCACAGATGATTCTATTTTCTGAAATGCAATTTCCAAAACTAAAGTCACCCTTCCAAATAATGGGAAAATGGGCTTCGGGTACAACATGAACTTGCCCACCTTAACTTCCAATCTGCCCTCACTTGAGCACTTCTGCTCTGCTTCCTACCAACATACCTAGATCTCCCACATCCTTTAAAACATCTTCGCTTGTCCCTACTGGACTAAGTATCACACTATATCTCTTCCCTTTCATAGTCAAACTTCTAGACAAATTATTACATACTTGTTGCCTCTACTTCCTCACCCTCCCTTCTCAACACTTTACTGTCCGGCTTCTGATCCACAATTTACTGAAGCTGCCCACTCCAAGGTCACCAAAGATCTCCTAATCACCAAAACCAACGGCCTTTGTCAGTCCTCATGTTTCTCGACTCTCTGCAGCACTTACCACTGTTAGTGGCCCTCTCCTCCTGAACACTATCTCCTCCCACTGTTCTCTGATACCATCCTCTCTGGTTCTCTCCTTCTACTTGTATGATCGCTCCTTCTCAGTCTCCTTTGCTGGATCATCATTTAGGCCCACTCCACTATGAATCCATACCCCACAAAGCTGCCCTCAACTCTCTCCTCTTTTCTCTCTATATCCTCCTCCCTTGATGATCTCATCAGCTACCATTAATTCAACCATCATCTCTATGCAAAAGACCCCCAAAGCTACCCGCCCAGCCCTTATCTTTCTTCAGAGTTCCACACTTCTCAAAATCAACATGTTCAAAACAGAACTAGTTACCTTTTCCCATAAACCAGGGGTGGGGAACCTGTGGCCTTAAGACCACATGTGGCCTAAACCCATTCCTATTTCAAACTGCCATTTTTTTTCTAGGACATCACAATCCTAATCACCCACATTTGCAACCTTATAATCTTCCTTAAATCCTCCCTCTCCCTCAACCCACACAGGCCCAGTCTTGTTGGTTCTACTACCACAGTATTTCTTGTATTAATCCCTTCTCTCCACTGACAAAGCTACCAGGCTAGTTCCAACCTTCATCCCCTCTAGTCTGAAATATGACTATAGCCTTAATAACTGGTCATTCTGTATCCAGTCTCTTCCCTCTCCAACCCATTCTTCAGAGCTGCCAAACTGATTCCTAAAGCACAAGTCTGACTATATCATTCCCCTGCTCAGGAAGTTTCAATGGCTCCCTATTGCCTCTGAGATAAAATACAAATTCTTCTGTGAAGCCACTGAAAAGCCCAGCCCACCTGGCTCCAACCTATCTTTCCAGACTCATTTCATATTATTCTCCTTTACATATTCTACATTCCAACCAAACTTGCCTGCTTGCTTTCTCCCCAAAGAAAATCTTCCATCTCCTGTCTTCTGTACACCTTTGTACAGCCTCGGTCCCAGGGGTAGAAAGCTCTGTCCCATCACCTTTGCCTAGAACTATCTAGAGCTTCCTTTATAGCTGGGCTCCAGGCCTTTCCAGAGTCCTCCAGTGGTTAGTGGTCATCCCCATGACTTTGTATTTAAGGTAATCACTTATCTGCATACATGTTGTCTCTCCCCACGAGAATATAAGCTGCTTGAGAGCAGGAACCATTCTATTTTTGTCTTTGTAGTCCCAGCACTTGGCATGTTGAAGGACCATAAAAAATGTCTGTGGAATTGAATTAAATGAGCTGTGAGGAAGATTTTCTTAGTGAAGAAGAACCCTAAAGACGGTGAAAGAAAAAGGCCGTGGAATTTTCTTCTCTGGGGGACTTCAAAAATAAAACACATTCTCAACCAGGCTTTCCTAACACCTACTTCTTCATGGAGCAGAGGAAGAGAGCAGTTCTCTCTATATCCACTTTCACATCAACAACGCTCTGAACACAATATGTCAAAACTACAACCCCACAACAATTAGCCCTTCCTCTACAATATTCTCCATCGTGTAGAAACTATGATTGTCACTGACATCAGCAAGTCAAACAGAAGAGGATTACTTAGAATTGGTCTAAAATTTTAAAATTTGACTATCTGGGTACCTTCTAACTTTCACCCCTAATTCTAGACCCTAAGACAAATTAATGACATGTGTACAACTTGGTTACAGTAAAGCAGGCACACTACTAAGAAATACAACCTAAGAATCTAACTAGTCATTTCTATTTTAAAATGTTATCAGCCCCTAAATTCACAGGCTATTTGGCTGTTATTATCTTTTGTACACATAAGTGCAATCTATAGAGCTCATTCATTTTAACTAAAAGTTTGTATTTAACAACACCTGGGATCAAAGGAGGCCAGTTTCTCCAATTTCAGGTCCTGAGGGTAACTAGAAAGAAAAAGACCATCACCTTGAAAACTCTGGTCATGTTTAAGTGCTTTGGGGTCTTTGTATTTTTGTCCCAAGAAGAAATTAGTACTGAAAGGGTTAAAAAAGCAGCTCAGAAGGCAGGTTAGGAAGGAAGGAAGGAAATGAAGAGGGGAGAAAAGGGAGATTTTCACTTGCTATATGCTAGGCACTATGCTAAGCTCTGAGGATACAAAGTATAAGCAAAAAGAAAGTCTATGCCTTCAAAGAACTTACATTCTAAAGGGAAAAGACAACACACAAAAGGGGGTCACAAACACAAAAAAGTGGAGTCATACTTTCCTCAAAAAAAAAAAGAGCATAATTTCTGACCCAGGCACAATTTTTGGTAATTCATTGGCACCAACTAGCCTTCCTTTCCTAAAATACACCAGGTGACCAGGTCGTGTAAAGCATAACAAATGTATAGTCAAAGTACTGCACTGATTATCTACAAAATATTAAAAACAGCAAATAACAACAGCTAACATTTATATAGTACCTTCTGCATGCCAGATACTTTACAAATTATTTCATCTGATCCTCACAACAACCCTGAGAGGTAGATGTTATTATTATTCCCACTTTACAGATGAGGAAACTGAGGCAAATAGAGGTTAAGTGACTTGCCCAGGATCACTTGGCTAGTTAAGCTAGTTAAGTGCTTAAGGCCAGATTTGAACAGAGGTTTCCCCGATTTCAGGCCCACAGCTCTATCCACTCCGCCACCTAGCTGCCCCAATAACTGAGGTCCTCTGACGTCTTGGCTGAGACTCTTTATGGAAGCCACCAAAAAGAACCATAGGGGATGAGAAGTCATGGATGATGGGCTGCAATCTGCACCAGCAGACAGCCAAGATCGTGGAGCCTCTCAAGTATACATGACCTTCCCCCAAACCCAAACCTCGCATTCCTTCTTTGACAATACAGCCCATAGCCTGAGGGCTACTGAACTTCATTCCACTTCCCTTCCACCTCTATGAATGCCCTGGCTCACTTCTGCTATCGCCCCGATTGTGCTCTCTCTCCTCTCCACCTCCTGGCTTCCTTCGAGTCCCAAAGTCCCACTTTCTCCAAGAAGTCTTTCCAGAGCTCCCCTGAACCCCAGGGAGTTAATTCTTTCCAAGTTATCTTTGTGAGAGTTGTCTGCACGCTGTCTTTCCCATTAAACTGGGAGCTCCCTGAGAACAGGGACGGTCTTTTGCCTTTCTTCATCGTCTTCAGCGCTTAGCACATTGTCGGGCACATAGTGGGCGCTTAATAAACGCTACTTGATTGACTCCTCCGGCGAATCATCTTTTTACTTTTGTGCATCCTACACACCCTGCCACCTCCTTCCTGGCCGTCGCAAGCCCCCCACCCCGCCTCCAACTCACAGCTGGATTAACCCCCCAGCCCTTCTCTTTCCAAAATCAACCATCCCTTTCTCCACAATTCCTCCCACGAAACCATCCTTTGGTAACCTCGATGCCTTTGGGAGACCGACTGCCCCAGACACCGGAGGTCCACCCCCAGAAATTCCCCCCACGCTCCTGACCTGACACCCCGCAGGGCGCCTCCCCATCCGTGACCCTGACACCCCGCAGAGCCCCCGCTCGCCCTTGACCCTGACACCCCGCAGAGCCCCCGCTCGCCCTTGACCCTGACACCCCGCAGAGCCCTACTCCCACCCCTGACCCTGGCATCCCGCAGGGCCCCAGCTCGCCCTTGACCCTGACACCCCGCAGAGCCCCACCCCTGACCCGGGAACCCCGTAGAGCCCCCCCACCCCTGACCCTGGCGCCCCACTCCTTTCCCTCTCCTTCCGCATCCCGGGTCCTCGAGGCGCCTGAACACCTCCCTCCGTGCCTGCCCCCCGCGGCCGGTCCTCAGGGCCCGGAGGCGCGTCCCTCCTTACCCGCGGAGACATCGCCGCCCGGGACCGGAGACAAGGGGGGGAAGCTGCAATCGTAGGAGCACTGGATGTCGCGAAAGAACTTCTGGGTCTCGCTCAGGTTCTGCTGCAGCCGATTCAGGTAGAGGCGGTGGTGGGCGAAGGCCCGGCCCAGTTCCCGAGACAGCCCGCTGCCGCCGCCGCCGCCGCCGGGGCCCGAGGCCGGGCCGCTCCCGCGAGGGGCCGTCCCTCCCCCGCCGCCGCCGCCGCCGCCGCCCTCCATCTCCTCCGACCGCTCCGTCTTCGCGGCTCGGCCCCAGGCCGCCGGCCCGCCCGGCCTCCCGCCTCCCTTCTGCCCGCCCCCCAATGGGGAGAGAAGGGGGAGCCCCAGCCTCGCTACGCCCCGGCCCGCCCGCCCACCGGCTGCACGCCGCCCACCCACCCCCGGGCTTTCGTCACCCACAGACGATAACAAACCAGCCCGCAGTGAGCCCACAACGGAACCTTTATTCACTCTGCCCAAGGGAGAGAGGGGGAATGCGAGGGGAGGAACGCCGCCCCGCGAGGCAGCCTGGGACTTGTAGGCCGCGGTCAGGCTGAGAGAAAAGCGGGCATCTCCGAGAGGCTGCAGAGGGATTCTTGAGGTGATGGGCTGGGGCCAACTTGAGCCGACTGTTAAATTTTCAATGTGAGCGTTTAAGTCTAGGAAGTCAGCTTGATTGATTGTTTTCTTGATTGTCTAGACTTAAGAAAATGAGGGAGAAAATGTTAATAATGGAAATTAAACTTTAAAGTGTGTCCTGCATACATTTCCCCCCCTCCCCTAGAAGCCAGTTGTTAAACATTTACCAGCACACAGAATCCAGGTTATAAATATTTTATTCATTCTCTCCTCATCCAAAACTTCCATGCCTGAATTCAATTCAACAAACATTTATTAAGCAACTACTGTATGCAAGTCACTTTCCTAGGTATTAGGGATGCTCTAAGACTTGTCCTCAAGCAGCTGACACGGGGTGTCTCTCCTGAGTCAAAAGACCTCATTTCAAATCCTCCTGCTTACGCTTAGTAGCTGTATGATTCTGAGCAAGTCACTTAACCTCTGTCACCCTCAGTTTCCCCATAGATTTTTGGTTAGGCCCAAATGTATAAAGTGCTTATCAAACCTTAAAACATTCTGTAAATGTTAGTTAATATTTTGATCCAATTAAACTCCCCTTACCCCCACCTTTTTTTTGTTTGTTTGTTTAAGGAAGAGGAGGAACTTCAAGCTCCGACCCAGGCAAAAATGGAATGCACTCACTGAAATCGTATCTAAAGATATTTAAAACAGAGGAAATTTTGTCGTTAAGGATATCAGTGTCCCAGTGATGGAAGCTGGATGATACAGTGGTCTAGAGTCTAGAAAACCTGAGTTCAGATTTTACCTGATTCCAGCCTCCCCACTTAATCTGCTGCCTGCCTCAGTTTCCTCATCTGAAAAATGAGGATAATAAAAGTACCTACTCACAGTGTTGTTGGGAGGATCAAATGAGATAATATTTGTAAAGCACTCAGCACAGTTCCTGGCACTTAATAAATGTTTCCTTCCTTCTTGTGATGATCCCAAAAGTAGGCTTTTAATCATTCATTTTCTCAAAAAACATTTATTAAGCTCTTCCTGTTTTCAACGCAGACTCCTCTAAAGTCCTCCTCTGGGGGCAGCTAGGTGGCGCAGTGGATAGAGCACCGGCCCTGAATTCAGAAGGACCTGAGTTCAAATGCGGCCTCAGACACATAACACTTACTAGCTGTGTGACCCTGGGCAAGTCACTTAACCCCATTGCCTAGCCAAAAAAAAAAAAAAAGTCCTCCTCTGATTCACCACATTATAGATGTGACCCTGATTTCTTAAGTCTGTGTCAGTGGAGGGCAAGTTCTCTGGAGATAAGGAGAGAGAGAGAAAGCTATCCAGCCACAGTGTTTTCCTATTTATGTCAAATGTGTTTGTGTGTGTGTATTTAAAACAGAATGTGAATTTACAAGTCCTAGGAGAAACAAAACCAAATAAATATTATTGCATGTGCTTAATATCTACAAGACATTGTAGCTATTCTGTACACAAGATAATGCCCTCTGAGGAATGTTCACAAATGAATGAAAATTTAAATAGCAAGACAGGATGTCAATAGATGCATCTGAGAATGGTGGAAAGTGCTCTAGACTCAAAGTTAGAAAAACCTGCCTCTTAACACTTAGTAGCTACGTGACCATGGGCGAGTCATCTCATTTCTCTGGTACCCTCAAGATGCCAGGAGAAAGCAAGGTGAATTGGAACAAGAATCTCACGGATAGACAGGCCTACATGAGTTGATAAGACAACAGATCCACTTGAATATTATTATTATTAATAATAATAATTAGTGATTCATAGGTTTGCAGGATGTTAGAACTAGAAGGAACTTCAAAGATTATCAAATCAAACTCCCTCATTTCAGAGATTAAGAAAATAAGACCCAAAGAAATGGAATGATTTACCTGAGGTCACACATCTAGGGATGGGTTCTAAGCACAGACCTCCAATCTCAATAGAATGCTCTTCCCACTTTAGAGAGTTACCTTCAAAGTCTTGAAGACCTGGGCTCTGACATAGGCTATGTCACTCAAAGTCACTTAACCTCTTGGTGCCCCCACAGACATCTCTCAAGGATGGTAAGTTGCAGAATAGTTGTTCATATGAACTGATAGAAGGGATTTAAGAGTTTCCTACACCAAAGAAATCACAGGAAACAGAGGACAGAAGGTAACAAGAATTTTGGGCTGACTTGGATTAGGAAGATTGTAAGTGAGGAGATAGAATCTGAATCAGATCTTGAAGAATGGGTGAGGCTGGAAGAAGAGTAACAGATATTTCGTAGCACCTTTAATTTTGTGCCAAACTTTGCATGCATTTTCTCATTGAAGCTTCTTGATAATGCCGGCACGTAGATCCTATCGATATTATTGTCCTCATTTTAGAGATGGGGAAACTGAGGCTTAGCAAGGTCAGGTGACTTGTCCATAGTCACATGACTTGTAAGAATGAGAGGCAGTATGTGAACCCAGTTCTTCCTAATTTCCCATCCAACTCTTATCTGTTATTCCCCACACTGTTTCTCCCATTTTTTCTGACTAAGTATAGAGGAGGGAGAAAGACATTCAAGGCAGGTGAATAAAAGGTTTAAAAACAAAAACTATGGGGTCATGAAATATGCATTTCATGCACTAAGGAAAAGCATCACTTGTTTCCTACTATAGAGAAGCTCAAAAGATGAGAGGGAAAGATGAAATCCTCCCCGGCCTAAACTTAAGCTGAATTCCCAACCAGTAAAATAAACCTCTCATTCTAGTATCTAACACTAACTGCAAAATGAAGGGAAATGGGCTTACACAGCAACAGAGGAGATTTATGCCAGATACAATGAAGGATTTTCTGATGGTATGGATTGTTAATCTCTAAAGTGAGTTAAAGAGAGAGTCTAAGAACTATTTTCTAGAGTTTTAATCACAGGTGTGACAATAGAAAGTATGCTGGATATGGCATCTGATGAGCTGGATTTAAATCCTGCCTCTGCTACTTAACTAGCTGTATTACCTTGGTCAAGTTGTTTCACCTTTATAGATCTCAGTTTCCTTATTGTTTTTGGTTTGGAGTTTTTTTGTTTGTTTTTTTTTGGGGGAGAGGCAATCAAGGTTAAGTGACTTACCCAGGGTCACACAGATAGTGTCTGAGGCCTAATTTGAACTCAGGTCCTCCTGACTTCAGGGCCAGTGCTCTATCCATTGTACTACCTTGCTGCCCCTGGTTTCCTTATTTGTAAAATGAAAGGGTTTGACTAGAACTCGATCAACGGTTCTTAGCCTGAGGTCCACATACTTTCTTATGGGTAGATTTCAGAGTTCATTTCCCATGAACTTGGATAGGAAAAATATTTTTATAACTGTATTTCAGTATAATTGAGTTCCTTTATAATCCTTTGTATTTAATTTGGTGCACTTAAAAACATTATCCTGAGAAGGAGTCCATGATCTTCATCAGACTGCCAAAGGAATCCATGACAGAAAAAAGGTGAAGAACTCCCAGGCAAGATGGCCTTTGAAGTTCCTTCTACTTCTAGATCTATATTCCTATTATCCTATGACTAAATGGCTTCTGAGTTCCTCTAGATCTAAATCTTTGTTCTTATGTTCTCTTCAGTCTGGGATGGTTTAAGTAAAAAAAAACTGGCAATGTTCCCATCAGCTCTGGTATCCAAAAATAAGACAAGTACCCTCTCTTACACTTGCCCTTCTGTTCTGCCCAGCTGCATTAATGAATGATATTTAGAATTTTTATTTTTTCAAATTGCAAACAAAAAGATTATATTCCTGTTTCATTTGTTTTTACATTTTATGATAATTTACATACCAAGGTTTATTAAGTTGGAGGATATTTATTCATAAAACTCAGCTTTTAAATGTAATGTACTTAATTATACATCAGATATCATTGCACTACTGCTGATGAATATTTCATCAGTGGCATTCTTGGCTGTCAAGATTCAGAGCAGTGGAAGAAAGGACAATCAATTAAAGGGAATTTATAAAATCCTTCCCTCAGAAAATGCCTGGTCAGGCTCAAGAGAAGAGTAGAAGTATTTCCAGGACATTTTGAGAGAAACCTATCCCAAAGGATCTATGAAAAATGTCGGATGCATAAGATGGCACCAATTGCAGAGGTCAGATACATCTGTTTCTTAAGTAGGGATGGCTTTTTAGCCTTGTCTGCAGTTGAGCAGTACTGTGATACCTAAATAAACACCCAGTTTTGTTTTGTTTAATTCTCTACTTGGAACACTGAATTATTTAGTATGTGTGTCTTAAGCTCCAAGATTTCTGTCATGTCATACCTCTAATAGTAGAAAGTTGGGTGCTGGGCAGGAATAGTCTGGTGAGGGATCTTGAAATTGAAAAAGACAGTTGATGAGGTCTATTTTTCTTAATCATGAAAATGTTTTCCCTCTACAAATTATGGAGCAGCTATCCTGGCTGACCTGTCACCCTTTTGGCTTTTGCTCTTCTTTTTTTAATATATTTATTTAATATTTCTCCCCAATTACATGTAAAAACAATTTATAACATTCATTTTTTAAAATTTTGAGTTCCAAATTCTATCCCTCCCTGCCCACTTCATTTAGAAAGCAAACAATTTGATATAGGTTATACATATGCAGTCATGCAAAACATTTTCACATTAGTCATATTCTGAAAGAAAACAAAAATTTAAAAAAAAACAAGAAAAATAGAGAAAGTAAAAACAGTATGCTTTGATCTGCGTTCATACTCCATCAGTTCTTTCTCTGGAGATGGATAGCATTTTTCATGTTAAGTCCTTCATAATTGTCTTGGCTCATTGTATCACGGAGAATAGCTAAGTCACCACAGTTGATCATTATACAATATTACTGTTACCATGTACAACGTTCATCTGGTTCTGTTCATTCCACTTTGCATCAATTGACGTAAATCTTTCCAGGTTTCTCTGAGAGCATCCTGCTTGTCATTTCTGGTAGTATTCCATCACAATCATGTACCACAACTTGTTCAGTCATGCCCCAATTAATGGGCATCCCCTCAATTTCCAATTCTTTGCCATCATTAAAAGAGCAGCTATAATACAAGTATGTCCTTTTTTGTTTAATTTTTTTTGGAATACAAACCTAGTGGTGCTATTACCAGGTCAAAGG